TACAGTCTGCTAACAACGGGTTCCGCATTTTTGTAGTCATAAATGAAACAAAGACTTCTGAGTTTTTTTGATTTCATGTGATACGCACGCAAAGCAGACAATAGGTGCCGCGCGTACCCCCGCGCGGAGCCCGCTTGTTTAGAATTGCTCGGCTCCCATGTAACATTCGGTTTTCTTTGAGTGGCAGTCATAAGGATGATACCCAGCGTCCCCATGGTAAAATAACTCTATTGCTTGCTTCTCCCGGTAGTGAGCAACGATGATTTTAGCCACAGCGAGCAGAGCTGTTGAACTCGTTCACCTCAGTGTGACCGCCAATATAGCATGATAGTATTAAAATGTGTCTGTCTAGACCGCTTTACAAGGATGGTGTTGCTGGCTTTGATTAGCGCTTGTACGTCGGAGTTCCCTTGAAATTCGGTCTTCTCGAGTGGAGTGGTTGTAGGCACTACTACTGTAGATGTGTAACTGTATTTAATAGAAATGCTGTTCTCAGGGTCTCCCGTGTGGTCGCCAGGTTCCTCATATTCAAGGGTTCCATGCACTACGGAATCTACCCCATCATTTTTTACTTCTACCGTTGGACCGTCAAACTACATCTGCCAATCACCGTCGTTTTTATATCTTCAAGAATATCTATTTGATTGTTATCGTAACAGTGACATCTACAGGCATAACGGCTGTAATCTGACGGTCCAACGGTAGCGAGGTGCCATGACGGGAAAATTCCACCCTACATGAATCAATAAACTAAATAATTGATCACGTAATCCACATTATTCTTAGATACCTACTCAGAACTAGACATAACTAGAGCTGCTGGTTCAAAAAGTGAAATCTCCGCCAAAAACTGGCGAGAATGAAGTGCATTCCATAGAAGAGCTGAGGGAAGGTTAGTTTGGAAGTTGGCAGTAAGTTAGTTCCTAAAAAATGCCGCAGATGCACTCAGTAAGTTGAGAGACGTATTGACGTTAAAGAATGCTCTTTTAGCTAGAATATGCTAGAATATGTTGTCTCGCGTGACGAGCAGTGCTGTAGGTTCCCCATTA